ATTTAATGCTGTAAATAGTATTTGTCCCGGAGTGCTAGTAGGTAGCTATATGCTGCATTGCACGAGACCGGAATGGTAGCAAAGCGTTCAGGTCGTATTAATTATTAGGTTACTAAAGTTAAGATAGGACAATAAATCGACCCTCCTCCTGGGAACATGGACAAGAATGTTTAAGTTCAAGACACTTAAACTTTCTCCGTTTTCTATACTGGCATTATCAGTGGTTGTTCCTGGGGAAATTAACGGTCAGGTTCTCCATTGGAATCACGTCAATGTCTTTAATGGTTCTAACACACACAGCAACACCGTGTGTATGGATGTAAGCGTTGCCGAGAGCCCAGTACTCCCCTAACGCTGAGCTAATTTTGGTGATTGCTTGTTGAGCATGCTTTGAAGGTCGCCGCGATGAGTATGCTGAGGTTACGCGGGAAGCCACTGTTGTATATCTTATTCTTCTCTTCTTCTCTCATGTGCCCTACTTAGACTTTAGGTCCGCCGGTTAAACCGTTACCAAAGAACCATTGATTATGGAAGCCTTTGTATGTAACCTTGTTATAGAGGTTTGGTCAAACTTGGCTCGTTTGATTTCCCATTCCAATAGGCGGACAAATTGCCCTAGTAAGGCCGGCAGCTACGATTTTACCACACCATTTATCGCTCAAAGGAATACTTAAATTCCAGCTACATTTATATCCATGACAAGGTTCTAAATGGTGCCATTACAGATTCTGATGTTCTGATACTTTACGTAGTAATAATGTTAGTTAACTGGGACATCAGTCATAAGTGAAAATGGTAATAAAAAATAGCGGTATAGTGTATACATCGTAGTAGTAACATCTCAGTAGAGTGCTTACACCCATTTAGTGAGAACATTGTAAACTTAACATTGGTGACACGGTTAGGGAAAAGTTTTAGTGATTTAGTGTGAACATTGGTAACACGGTTAGTGAAAAGTTTTAGTGGCGTAGTGTGAACATTGGTAACACGGTTAGTGAAAAGTTTTAGTGGCGTAGTGTGAACATTGGTTACACGGTTAGTGAAAAGTTTTAGTGGCGTAGTGTGAACGTTGGTAACACAGTTAGGGAAAAGTTTTAGTGGCGTAGTGTGAACATTGGTAACACGGTTAGGGAAAAGTTTTAGTGGCGTAGTGTGAACATTGGTAACACGGTTAGTGAAAAGTTTTAGTGGCGTAGTGTGAACGTTGGTAACACGGTTAGGGAAAAGTTTTAGTGGCGTGGTGTGAACATTGGTAACACGGTTAGTGAAAAGTTTTAGTGGCGTAGTGTGAACATTGGTGACACGGTTAGTGAAAGGTTTAGTGGCGTAGTGTGAACGTTGGTAACACGGTTAGTGAAAAGTTTTAGTGGCGTAGTGTGAACATTGGTAACACGGTTAGTGAAAAGTTTTAGTGGCGTAGTGTGAACATTGTTGACACTATTAGTGAAAAGTTTTAGTGGCGTAGTGTGAACATTGGTAACACGGTTAGTGAAAATTTTTAGTGGCGTAGTGTGAACATTGGTAACACGGTTAGTGAAAAGTTTTAGTGGAACATTGGTAACACGGTTAGTGAAAAGTTTTAGTGTGAACATTGGTAACACGGTTAGTGAAAAGTTTTAGTGGCGTAGTATGAACATTGGTAACACGGTTAGTGAAAAGTTTTAGTGGCGTAGTATGAACATTGGTAACACGGTTAGTGAAAAGTTTTAGTGGCGTAGTGTGAACGTTGGTAACACGGTTAGTGAAAATTTTATTTTTCTGCGGTTCTCTAACAAAGATTTTACTTTCACAATCGGTCCTGTATTAAAGATTCATTTTCACCATCGGTCCTGTATTAAAGATTACTTTCACCATCGATCCAGTGTTAAAGATTACTTTCACCATCGGTCCTGTATTAAAGATTTTCATCATCGGTCCTGTATTAAAGATTCATTTTCATCATCGGTCCTGTATTAAAGATTCATTTTCGTCATCGATCCTGTATTAAAGAGTTACTTTCATCGTCGGTCCTGTATTAAAGATTCATTTTCGTCATCGATCCTGTATTAAAGATTCATTTTCATCATCTATCCTGTATTAAAGATTACTTTCACCATCGGTCCTGTATTAAAGATTCATTTTCATCATCGGTCCTGTATTAAAGATTCATTTTCATCATCGGTCCTGTATTAAAGATTCATTTTCATCATCGGTCCTGTATTAAAGATTCATTTTCGTCATCGATCCTGTATTAAAGAGTTACTTTCATCGTCGGTCCTGTATTAAAGATTCATTTTCGTCATCGATCCTGTATTAAAGAGTTACTTTCATCGTCGGTCCTGTATTAAAGATTCATTTTCGTCATCGATCCTGTATTAAAGAGTTACTTTCATTGTCGGTCCTGTATTAAAGATTCATTTTCGTCATCGATCCTGTATTAAAGAGTTACTTTCATCGTCAGTCCTGTATTAAAGATTCATTTTCGTCATCGATCCTGTGTTAAAGAGTTACTTTATTAAAGATTCATTTTCGTCATCGATCCTGTATTAAAGAGTTACTTTCATCGTCGGTCCTGTATTAAAGATTCATTTTCGTCATCGATCCTGTGTTAAAGAGTTACTTTCATCGTCGGTCCTGTATTAAAGATTCATTTTCGTCATCGATCCTGTGTTAAAGAGTTACTTTCATCATCGATCCCGTATTAAAGATTCATTTTCGTCATCGATCCTGTGTTAAAGAGTTACTTTCATCGTCGGTCCTGTATTAAAGATTCATTTTCGTCATCGATCCTGTGTTAAAGAGTTACTTTCATCATCGATCCCGTATTAAAGATTCATTTTCATCATCGGTCCTCTAACGAAGATTTTACTTTCATCACCAATGCTCAAACAAATATTTCACTTTTATCGTCAGTCCTCTACCAGTTATTTGAATATTTATCCTCAAACTTCTAATAAAAAAAATTGAGTTCATCGTCTGTTCTCTAACCATGACCACTCAGTTATCGCTAGTCCTCTGACAAAAGCTCCTTTTTACTTATTTTCAGTCATCTAGCGAAGGGTACACTTTCATTGTCAGTCCTCTACCAATTCATCGCCTGTTCTCTTACCAAGACCACTCTGTCATCGCTTGTCCTCTGACGAAAGCACCTTTTTACTTGTTTTCTGTCATTTAGTGAAGGGTACACTTCCATCTCTAGTCCTTTTATGAATACGTCTCTTTACATTGCAGTCCACTGACAAAGACCTTATTGCGTCTCTCTTTCAGTGGAATGCCTCTTAATCAGTGTTATAAGATCATTGTGTAGATATCATAAACAAACATATTATATTAATGGCACAAAGGTGTTTGTACTTAATGATTGGTAAGTGTGAACTAGTGGTGGGTGTGAAGGTCGTTTGACCACAACAAACCGCGCCACGGAGAGACTGCAGAAACACATATTACGCAACTAAATCTGGACCGTAATGATCTCATTTTCCATACACATCGAGAAACAGTCCTTACACAATACCTCAAACCAGACAATTCTGAACAAATAATCGTTTCTCTGCCCCCACGTTTACCGTTACTATCCAAAAACAAGTATAGGAACAGATGATCATACAAACACACAAGGCACAACTTTTAGGATATGAGCAAAACTTTTGTAATAACATATTTATTGAACAAGCACAATAGTGGTGCATAAATAACAGGTGTTCATTTGCAATTAAGAGGGGGACGTTTGTATAGAAAAAGTATTTAAGTGTGCTACTCTAAGAGATTTGAAAACAAGTGCCTCGTTTCCTTTTGGCGTTCCAGAAGAAAAAAGATCTAGCTGTCGATAATTTCATCTCATCAAGTTTATCATGGTGGGGCCCAGCAGGATTAACGCCTCTCGCTCTGACCAGCCTCCGACAGAAGACATTTGTATTAGGTTATGTCCTTATTGTTCAGGCAATAACAATATTGATTCTCGCTACAAATTTTACTGACAGGTACGGGCGCTCTCGTGCTCATGTGCATACGTAGTTTAGAGGGTCAAGACCGGATTATCAGAAGTGCGGTCCCACCATAATTAGTCCATATATTCCGAGTAGGTTTTAACCTTTCGGTCATAATTAAAGACACGAATATCGTGCAGGCAACTGTATACTTGTATCATGGCATTTCGTAACACAGCTTACACGAATATGGAATCCGCAGATACTTTCCATACGTACATAATAACTGTTTTTTCTCTGAATACAAGATAAATACGTACATGTTAGTTTAATGTACTTTGTCAGACGCATGTGCACATGCTTGACAGTGTCTTTACACCTGCATTTCGCATTGATTTATGTAAATGACGGTATACGTCAGTGTCCTAACAGGTATATCTGAGAACGATGCACAAAAAGTCTGACAGTCCGATGGGAAGGCGAGTATATTGGAATATTTGACAACTCCATATCTGTGCGTGACGGTGTTAACTCTGGGCACTCAACACACACTGAAGCACGTGACGATTGTTGGAGCGAATACTTCATGTTGTCGCCGTATAAACCAAGATCCTGTTTAGTGGTCGTGTTCATGCAATACGTCCTTGAATTACAGTGACGCTCCGGCTCTATTGGCGATAATCGTATTGGGTATCCTTAGTCTAGGTAGGTTCCACAAGATGTCGAGTTCGTATTAGAGCATGGGATGTCGAGTTAGTGTCAGGGAAACATGATATGTCGAGTTCTACGTTCATCCATATATTAATCACCGGAGCTGTGGATTACGTGATGTGAGGTATACCATCAATTGACTGTTGCTGTGCCCATTGTAGTTTACTTTGACCACGCGTGGCTATCTAATTGTGTAAACGTTGCTGAACAAATGGTTTATATAAAGAGAGCGGTACACTGGCTGATCACCTAACATCAGCACGTGTTCCCGTGGATTGCCAACAGTTCAAACATCATACATTGCTGTGCGTCTTTGTTAGAAAAGTTACCTGTAGACGAAATACAGGTGAATATCTGTGGTGATGCACCATTTCGAGATCTGAAATGGATTTAACTGGCTACGTCATCATGTTGGTAAAGACAGAAGACGGATTTGTTAAGTTGTACGGTGAGTACTCCGTGTCGGTCGATGTAACCCTTTTCGATACCACCCTTAAATAAAGTCTTATCATGTCATTTTACAATAAATCGTTTTTTTCTGTATAAACTAAATTCAATTATTTGCTGTTATATTCCAATATTTGTATACTGAATCGATAGTTTGGTCTATTACGATGTAATGCACATGTATATGAATTACAATGTAACCTTCCAACCAAGCAGTCCTTTATAAAATTTCAGTGTTGTATGTGATTTACAGGTACAAGTGATGTAACATACTGTTGTATCTATTATTAAACGAAACAATATCAATATATATTTGACTGCGAGCGCCTCTGGCGGCAGTATAATGGAAAATTGATATGCGATAACTAAATTCTGTTTTTATTTCGCCTCAGTTTTACGTCTCACCAACAGCCAATGTCATATTGAACAGTCCTGACTCTAAAAAAAAGTTAGCAAGTTAGAATTTAGCTAGGGACATATAAATGCCTTGTGATTCAAGTATGTTAAGCTGAATTATTAATGTTGTGAATTTGATAAAGCATTATTCTGTGGAGACATTAGGTGTATTTTACAATCTCTTGAGAATTTTAAATGATAAGCGAGAAAATTAAAATTTGGTTTCTAACAGAAATATTTAACTGTAACAAGCGATGGTTATTTTTGTCCTAGTGGCATTTAATTAAATACCTGTTTTATTACACATATTTACTAGGGTCGAACTCGTGACCTTGTTTTCAAGTCGCATGATAATTTGCTACTTGTATGCTCGAATCATGAATGTCTATCACTGTAACCGATGGATGCTTCATCTTATAATAGAATTCATATCTTCAAAGATTTTTTATGGAACGGAAAATTGTCCTTCTCATTCACTGATCGTTCCTATGTTAAGCTATGCTGGTCCTTCAGTTTCTTCAGTTTTTCTTTGGAATCAACTTGGCAATAGTGCTACAGCGGTTTCTAGAAAGAGAATTAACATCAAAATTTTCTTGATAGTTCTTCTCGTAAACGGCTTCGGGGGTTATAGAGAACCTCTTTCTACTGAATCAGTCAAACAAGGAGCTCGTTTGAAGCTGAACAAATCACAGCTTCACTTTCCCTTTTTTGTCCAGGTTCTCTCTTACTAAACCGTAATATATAGGAATGTATCGGCGAGATCAATGTAACTCCTACCCGTGGAACAAATCTCGCATGGCTTTATGTAGGTATACGTCTACATCAATGTCCTTGATACGATGTTAAGACTTTTCTTTTGCTCTGCAATATCTCTTGAGAGTCCAAAGTGGCTGCCGACAATCAACAATGGCGCGTACCTTAATGTATCACAAGAGCATACACCTAGTGTGTTCATACTATCCGCGTGTTTCCTTTACAAGGGGTTGAATCTGACTATTCATGTAAAATATCTCCCGAGGAGCTTTAAAATTCCTACAGACGGTGTCCAAGGCGCCTCCAGCTGGTTTTATGGTCTCCTATATTCGAAGAAATTTGTAATGTGTTGAATGGACTTCCTACAGATCTGTTCACCATCTTCCACAACAACCAGCTATTAGCCTCTTCTCTCAAGTTCATGTTCTAGACCAGAGGACTCGAGCAGTGCACCTCCTGCCTCAGAATTCGGATGGAATGAATGTCCATGGTTATCAACCAGTATCGCTATTTCTTAAGAAAGACTTGATGGATTTTATTCAAACTCAGTACGTAGGTTCCACTTTGACTCGAGTTGTGATTTTTTATTAGAAAAATTCAATAGCTGACCGGTATGACCTTTTACTGCATACCGACCAGCCTCTCAACTGGTTCACGTTTATCATCACTTCAGATTTTGTTCCACCATCTAAAAATTGTTTTATAATTGTCCAAAAACTACTACATTACCGAACAACGTATAAAAACAACCCAGAAGTTACACGGATATGTACAGGAAAAGCCATTTAATGCCACTAACGGAATGCCTGGAGGATATTGACAAGGAACACGGGATGTGTTGTGGTTACCGGAATCACTTGTATATATGTGTAACGATTGATGAGAATGCTTACATGTGCATGAAATCTTTTCCACGAAGCTACTTAACCGTTGTGTGGACGTTTAAAGAGATTCTGTTCGATAGCAATAACATTCGTTTTCCAGTACTTGCGTGTTCCAGGGAAAGGATTAACCACTCACATCTACACAGTTAAGATAATCTCAACCAGAGAGAAAATTTAAACGCGAAGCTTCCTCGATCCTTATTCCGAAGAAGGAAATGCATTCGTTCAATAGAATTACAGGCACGTTCTATGTGTCAAGATGTTAACGATATTGTTTCCAAAGTTTGACTCGTGTTTAGAATAAACAGGGTGACAAGAAACTAGATATAAGCTTCCACCATTACCGTCGTATTGTAGTCAGAGAGAACACGAACCGTCCACCATTACCGTCGTATTGTAGTCAGAAGGAGAACACGATCCGTCCACCATTACCGTCGTATTGTAGTCAGAGAGAACACGAACCGTCCACCATTACCGTCGTATTGTAGTCAGAGAGAACACGAACCGTCCACCATTACCGTCGTATTGTAGTCAGAAAGAGAACACGAACCGTCCACCATTACCGTCGTGTTGTAGTCAGAGAGAGAACACGAACCGTCCACCATTACCGTCGTATTGTAGTCAGAGAGAACACGAACCGTCCACCATTACCGTCGTATTGTAGTCAGAGAGAGAACACGATCCGTCCACCATTACCGTCGTATTGTAGTCAGAGAGAACACGAACCGTCCACCATTACCGTCGTATTGTAGTCAGAGAGAGAACACGAACCGTCCACCATTACTGTCGTGTTGTAGTCAGAAAGAGAACACGAACCGTCCACCATTACCGTCGTGTTGTAGTCAGAGAGAACACGATCCGTCCACCATTACCGTCGTATTGTAGTCAGAGAGAACACGATCCGTCCACCATTACCGTCGTATTGTAGTCAGAGAGAACACGAACCGTCCACCATTACCGTCGTATTGTAGTCAGAGAGAGAACACGATCCGTCCACCATTACCGTCGTATTGTAGTCAGAGAGAACACGAACCGTCCACCATTACCGTCGTGTTGTAGTCAGAGAGAGAACACGATCCGTCCACCATTACCGTCGTATTGTAGTCAGAGAGAACACGAACCGTCCACCATTACCGTCGTATTGTAGTCAGAGAGAGAACACGATCCGTCCATCATTACCGTCGTATTGTAGTCAGAGAGAGAACACGATCCGTCCACCATTACCGTCGTATTGTAGTCAGAGAGAGAACACGAACCGTCCACCATTACCGTCGTGTTGTAGTCAGAGAGAACACGAACCGTCCACCATTACCGTCGTATTGTAGTCAGAGAGAGAACACGATCCGTCCACCATTACCGTCGTATTGTAGTCAGAGAGAACACGAACCGTCCACCATTACCGTCGTATTGTAGTCAGAGAGAGAACACGAACCGTCCATCATTACCGTCGTATTGTAGTCAGAAGGAGAACACGATCCGTCCACCATTACCGTCGTATTGTAGTCAGAGAGAGAACACGATCCGTCCACCATTACTGTCGTGTTGTAGTCAGAAAGAGAACACGAACCGTCCACCATTACCGTCGTATTGTAGTCAGAGAGAACACGATCCGTCCATCATTACCGTCGTATTGTAGTCAGAAGGAGAACACGATCCGTCCACCATTATTTTGTCATCACTCGCCTGTATACTACATTTAAGTGACATGCTTAAGTTTAATGAAGGGAACGTGCTGTAATGAGAAGAGACAAATTCTCCCATAAAGAAAATCGTCGTAGGGCGTAATGTGATTTCTAGGTCCCCGCGGTATTAACAACGAAGCCTGCGTGACATCGATCTAGCTATTACACAATTAAAAGTTTTACCTCGCCGTGAAAACGTCAACCTCTCACTCAGGTCTTCTGTACAGCAAACCACGAGCATTGATGTGAACCAACTTGTCTTATCTTCTCAAATGTAGATAGAGATGACAAATGTGTAGTTGAACATCAGTTATATTGCTGTCATGTCTGTAAAACTAGCTATTGTCAGTTCTTACTACCCAATCATTCAACCAATAACCGAACTCCCCAATCAGTCATTTGTCAAACAACCAACTATTTATTATCAACCTTAATACAATATTCAACATCCCTACATTCCCTAATAAAACATTCAAACAAAACCCGAACAACCATTTATTATCAACCTTAATACAATATACAACATCCCTACATTCCCTAATAATACATTCTAACAATATCCTATTTTGTTTTTTTGTTTTGTTTTTTTTTTTTTTTTGAAGTCGCCATCATATCAAAAAAATCATCTCCCCAGATATGGCCACATTAATATCGGAGAAACATGGAAACCAAATTTCCTTTTGTGCAAAAACATTAAACATTTGACCTTTATCACCACGATAGTATTGATTAAAATGATCCCTCCTGGCCACCACAAACAAATCAATCCAAATAAGTAATGCCAGGTTCTCAAATGAGACCAAGCAAACACGCCTAGTTTCATATCTCAATGAGATCACTATGACGACCGTTTAAACTTTATCGTTTAATTTTTATCAACCTGCGTCTTTTGAAACCCTGTGTTACGGGTTTATATGTCAGTTGACGACTTCATGTGCAAAAATCGTGACAATGGAAACGGGCCGTTGAATAACCGCGACATGTAAACACCATAGGTTGGGAATGCAGGAATGTTACTATCCAGAAATGGAAAATTCACAATAGGGAAACTGAAATCATCACGGTTATCATACATCTTAGTGGTGATAAGCGGTTTATATAGAAGATTGTGTCGTGTACTTAGTGAGTATATACATTTTTGTTATTTAAAGACAACACGTCCTAAATATATATATATGAAGGTGAAAATAAACAACCCTGCAAGGTCTTTGTGACATCTGTTGATGAGCTGTTTGATTAATTCAGCCATGCATAAAAGCAAAAACAAGCCAGCCAGCAAAGACATT